AAATAAATAAATAAATACTATATGACTGTTGAGCAAAAACTGTCAACATGATCACTGTGGATAATAAGACATTGTTGGAGAAAATCTGAATTATCTTGGGTCAACTCAACTCGCTAGCAGATTCTTTCTCCAAAAAATTGAACATACAGCCTGAATCCCCCGTGCCCCCAAACATCAGAGAAACTGATATACTACACTTGCAGCATAAGAAGAATAAAATATCTGTCTCTCTAAAAATGTATTCTTCGATATTTAAAACGACGTCAACTTGAGTATTCTAAGTGTATAACATGTCTTTACAGCTTAAACACAGTCTTAGTCAATGAGGATTGTGTTTCTTACAACAGTTAGTTATAGATTATTGCTGTACCACATTAAGACTATAAATGAAAAATACTGACAGCATAACATTCCAGGAGTAAGAAATTTTAACTGATCTGTACTGCATAACAAAGTTATAAAAAATAAAATTCTGAACTGGGAAAGAAATTCTATAGGAAATATGCATAATTCACATTTCTGGGAAGAGGTATTTGTATATTAACTACATTATTAGTTATATTTGCATTTATAGAAATTTTTAAAAATCAAAAATTGTTTAAAAGTTATCTCACTTAAATCACTCAATTTTAAATTAATGTCATCAGTTCCTCTAAAAATACCTTCTACATGTTATTTCAAAAGGACTCCATTTAACAAGGACAACCTGAACAGGACAAAGCATGAAGAAGTAACTACTAAATGGAATCACAGATAAGCTTCCCCTATTATGTAGCAAACCTCTGGCTACACTACTCCAGTCATCTAGTTATGTCTGTCTGGGCATCAAGCTGATTTCGAGTAAATAATTCAAGCATAAGCATGTGAAAGATGCTGTTCTGATTTTCTCAGAAATGCAACCATTCACTCTTCTGAAAGTGTATGCTCACATAAATATGGAAACTATAATATAATGAAATGTCACATGTACAGTGGCCCTGAATGGAGGCACTTAAATCTCCACAGCAACAAAACAGGAGCAGTTAGGCCACTGGATGTTATAATTTTATGCGATTTAATACTTTTATATTTGATGAAACATCTTCAGGTTTTATCAGATTGGGGCACTGATGAGGGAGGGCTTGAGTCTAAGTAAGTCCAAATGCACCAGGAACATATCAACCTGTGTGCGTACTTTCTTAAAATGCTGAGCCATTTTCAATTCAGAAAGTGTTGTGATCACAAGGAACATGTTACCGCCATGATGGTAGATGGTAGAAAGTCAGTATGAGCTGAATTCTCAACATCTGCTATCAATTGAGGAAAAAAAATAAAATAAAACCATATAAGTCTTGATAAGTCTGTCTTATCGAGAACCTATGGCTTTTTAATTATTTTATCCCTCAAAATAAACCCACAAAATAATAAATCACCTTTTGTGACAGGGCGTCAAAAATGCCCCAGAACAACTTTCTTGA